ACTACATAGTAATATAAGATCATTTTTACACACAACTCAAATAATCTATCTCTTTTTGTTGTATTAAAAAAATAAAGGAAAAAACTCTTCCCGATAGATATGAATATAACTCAACTGATCAAGGATAATTTATTTATGTCTATATGAACTCAAAAATAATAATAATAATATCTTCAATATCTTTCCTTCTTTTTTTATCTGGTTTTTTCTTTTAATAAGGTATCATTTTATTAAGAGAAGTATACGAGGAAGAGAAACATATAAGACAAGTGAAGATATAAAAAACACTCAACTTAGAAAATTGGCAGAGATATCATAGTTAAAAAAAAAATGTTTAGTTTCAGATCTCTAAATTTTTTAAATGTCTATTTAATCCTTAGACTTTCAAAAATTAATATAGTTGTATAAAACCCACATAAGCCTACCCAGGGTGGCATGCACCAAAACTAATGATGAAATATTAATAAAGATGAAAATAGTTAATGTTTTTAACTTTAGAGAATAAAGACGAAAATGAAATAAAAATACAAATTTAGGCCTTTCTTTTATCTTTTTTTGTAATAGAAAATAAAAATAGGTTATTCATGGTTTCTTCCAACTCCTTATGAATAAGATTCCTCTTAATATACAATTTCTTGAAATGTTCCCAGGAAAAGAAAAATGAGAAACATAACATTATCGAGACGCCCCTATTTCTTAAAATAATAATAACAACAAAGAAACAAACAAAAATATATATATATATATTATTAAATAAATCTTGAAATTTGAGTGTTTTTTCTATATTTATTTATTTATTATTTCTACTACTAAATGCAGTTCGGAGAATTGTGTCCAGTGGTCCAAGTCTTGTTCGACGTTGCAGTTTATACCGATTTTGTCCAAGTAAGTATCTTCCAATTTAATAGAAAATTTGAATCTCCAACTCACCTTATATTTTCAGAAAATTAAGAAAAAATATATATAAAAAAGTTCTCACTTTATTATATATTTTTGCCAAAAATTGAAAACAAAAAAAAAATTAGAATTTTAAATTATGGCTAAATTTTTTTATGAAATAAAAGTATTATTAGAGTCATTTTTGCATAGTTGACAAAATTAATGTCCAGAGGGATTTCAAAATCATAACGGATTTCAAATGAATTTCATTATTTGGCACGACATGATTTTGAGGGATAGTTTTTATGTAAAAAAACTTCTCCATCAAAATGATAGGATCTCGAAGGATTTCATAGGATTTCAGAGTAAATTACAAATTTAACATTGTCATATTTTAATTTCTAAACAATAAATTTAGACTAAAAGTTAAATTTAAGCCTAAATCAGTAAAATTTTTATTTTCCGTTCATTTTCAGTAAACATCCCAACAAAGAAATTTAATTTATTTCATTTCAAATCATTCTCATTCCACGAGATAAAAGGAATTTAAAAGCATTTCTTAAACTTGACGTGAAACAAAACAGAGGGTAAAAGCTTATGTATTTTCTCACTTTCTTTTCTCTTTATGTTTGTAGGATCTTGCAACTCCTGCCACCTTTTACAAAGTACCAACGGTAAGTATTACTGAAAAAAGAGGAAAAGAAAAAGGAATTTAAGAGCCTGTCCATTTAACAAGAATAAAATGTTGTTATTAATTTTGTAAAGATTGTGAATTAATAAATTTGAATTCTCAGAATATTGAGAACTATTTGAAGATTTCAAAATTCCTTCCGAAGCTCAATAATGAACGTCTAGAAGATAGAAACTCTACTTACAAAGAGCGTTTTAGTAGCCTGAACAAATTGGTGCTACTTATGGTAAGTACAAAAATAAATAAATAATTAAGTTTCCAAAATCATTTATTATATTGTTCAACCCGAACATAATTTAATTCGTAAGACGATGTAATTGTAATGGTTTTGACTTTTTTTCCGAATAGAACGAAAACGAAACCATCTTGATTCCAAAGGAATCTGCATTGTTTGGATACTATAAGGATGGCAGCACTGATGAAGTTCTACCAGCACAAGAGGTAACCTCAAACAAACACCCATTGAATTTTTCTTTTTTTCTTCTTGAGAATCACATTAAATCTTCTTGAAAGACCCCCACAAAGATAAATAAATAAATAAAATAAGTTTAAGCCCGTTTTATAACCTATTTTATTTTTTACTTTTTGCTTCTATTTCTGAATCTTATGCATCCATTGTGGTTATTTCATATCTTCTTTTTTTTCTTTTAGTATTATTCTGCTACTGTTATAGCATTATAAAAATTATTATTACTCTTACTCCCGTCGGGATAAATCCTGTCTCTTATACACATCTACTATACCTGCTGCTGTAGCATTATAAACATTATTATTACTCTTACTCCCGTTGGGATAAATCTGACCTCGTCCAGAGAAAGAATAAGAAAGGTGATTGATTTTACTGTATTTCTGACCAGGAACAGTACCTATAACAAGAATATTTTTTTTAGTGGGAATATAGCTCTGAAAAGATCACATATTGCCTATATTTTCTTTAATCTCAGGAGAAATAAGAACCGCCCCCACGTTGAAAAAACACTTCTTACACTTATATTTTGACGTTATCTACTTTTCAAGAACGTTTTCAAAATTTAAACTAAGGCAGATACATTTGTTTTGTAAAATATAATTTGCAGACAGAACTGTATAAAGAGGACTGGATTGGATTGAGGAGTTTGGATGAGAGGGGAAAAGTGGTATACGAGACAGTACCAGGAGTTCATGCTGATTCACCTGATGAAACTTTGAACAAATTTGTGGTGCCTTATTTGGTGGATGATGCTGCAGCCTGGGCCTTAAAATCTGCAATAAGAACCAAACTCAAACAGCTCCACAGCAATAAGGCTTAGAAAACAAAACCCATCTTGCTCTTGTATGGATATCATCATTTCATCATGTGTATTGTTGGAATGTAGTGCATGTAATCCATCAGGATTCTGTTTCTACTAGAGAAACAGACTTTATGAATTAAATAAAAAGGTGCATCCCGCGTATTCCTAATCCTAACTTTTAACGTACCTACGAGTAAAAACTAGACGCAAATGTGATGCCAGTTTAAAGGTTTCTTCAAAGCTCATGTTAGTATTGAACTATATATAGTTTGGACATCAATTGATCGGGGTAGATTTGCATACCTCAAACTAAACATTGCTTCTACGTTTATTGAGAGAGATTTCTTTTCTTTGGCCACCTAATTTTCATATGTGACCCTCTTTAATGGCAAGTTATATCTGCAACCATGCACATGAATAGTTACGTCACTTGATGAACTATTACTATTTTCTAGAGTCGACCATGTGTGAATTATTCTTTTACAAGTCAACTATATGTGAGAGTGAATTATTCTTTTACAAGTCGACTATATGTGAGAGTTATTGTCGCACGAGTATGTTATGACCGCTTTTATAAACGTGTTATTGCGCATTACACATAGTTCACCAAATCGTTCACACCTGGTTGAGGTGGATCATTAATCAAATTCATGGCAGTTTGGTCAGCTTGGTAATTAGTTGATCCGTGGTCTGCAGAGTGTCACATCATGGACCAGATTTTGCCCATAACAAAGTCTAAACTTCATAAACCAAAAATGTTATTATTGACATGTATTTATAGGTCTATATTTTTTGAATTTATGATCATTGCAGAGTGGTAATAGCAAAAATGAAATCTGAAACTAAATTTTGCGTTTGTTAATTTTATTTATAGATTTAAAATTGTTTTTAAGTCCTCGGGATTGAGCAAGCTCAACTTAAAGTTGGAGGCTCAAATCTCCACACCTCATATTTATTGTACTTAGAAAAATATAATTTTTCAATCAACTTTCATATTTGTTATATATACTTTATCAATGTGTTTTTGCAATACTATATCAATGTCAACTCGATCTTTTATGTCGCGAACATATAGAAATGACGATGAAAATGTCGACATATTGATAAAAATTTAAGACCTCAATTTTTGTACATTTAAATATTTTATTTTATTTCTCCAAGGAAGAGAACGCAATTGAATTGCACAAAACTCTAATATATGTTTCTTGAATTGCATAAATAATCATGTTATTATATTACTTTTGACTTACCATATGCTTAATAAATATAAGAGAACTTTCACTATGTATATGTTTAAAAATAACACGACTTGTTATTTTTTAAGTACAGCATAAATGTGCTATAAAAAAATAAAAGTACAGCATAAAATGTGATTTTGAAACACACTAGAGGTATGATATATATTAATTATTTGAGTTATGTTCAAGTTGTCAATTTCTCATATATTTGGTAAGCCAAAAAATAATAAAACAAAAAATTTTAAAAATATGAACTTGTTTTCCTTTTTGATCTTTTTGTTTCCAAAATTTGCCATACAGTTGAGCTTCCCCAAGCAAAGAATTTTCTTAGCCCTAAAACTTTATTTTCTTTTACGTCCTTAAACTTAGGGTAGCTTTGAGAAATCGGCCTTCTCGATGACCCAAACACGATAAATCGGCCTATTACTTTCTTCAGAATTTGCCTCAAAATTTAGGAGTTTTCTATCAAATTCAACCTATCGGGTGATATAAGTTTTAACTTGTTTAGACCCATTAGATATAATTGAAAATTCAATTTACTATTAACACTGCTTTGAAATCACCCTTAGTCCACCAACCTAAGCATAGCTAACCACCTACTCCCAAGTCCCAACTTATACGACCAGAAGGCGGTGCGTTCGAATCCCCCACCCCTACTCTACATGTTATACTCAAACAAAAAAGTTAGAGGAAAAAAAAAGTCACCTTCAATCATCACCATTGGGTTGGGTCAAGCTAGTTCGAACCAAATACACAAAAGCCCAAACTCTACGAGCCTCAGGTACTATTTGTGTTGGATTTTAGCTTGTCCAACTACTAAAACTTAGGCCTATAGCCTTAATCCTTAGGGCCAAAGTTATATCAAACTTAACTTGGCTCATATAAAAACTTTTTTATTTTTAGAATTTGTGTGTTTATTTTATTCTTTTGTACGGCTTTGGTAGATCCAAATACAGCTCAAACATGTTGTTCCATGAACTATGCTAGGTTGGGTTTGGGCTAGTATTTAGGGTTTAGGCCCGATTATCAATTTATCATCCAAATTTTGAAATTTTTTAAAAATTTCATTGGATGCTCATGATCGGGGCTTGCAGGCACGGTTGTGAAGTTGAAGCAGAAGCCTTCACCGGACGGTGAAACTGACGGAAGAAGAACATGCTTGTGGGCCGAAGCCTATTGGGCCACATAACAAGAGTAATTGGGTCCAAAAAATGCAAAAAATAGTGATAATAATAATAATGCTAACATATATGAATTGTACAAATAATTTATGGTTTTTATTTTAGTTTATATACTCAACATTGTATACATATATGTAGTAGATACCAAGATTTCAAATAGAGAAGTATCGTCTCATGTCATGACAATTGGACTTTTTATTCTCTTTTTTATAATTCAAATTTATAAAAACAAATTTGTAATGTGTTTTCTCTTTATTTAAATATCTATACAATTCTAATGGTACTTCAAAAATTCAAATATTTTTCTTAAATATATTCGACAACTGTTTTAATATTTCCATTTTGGAAGATTTTTTTATCCTGTTTTTCTTTTTAAAATTAGCAAATGAATCTAGGAAAGCCAGTCAATTAGAAAAGTCATAGCCATTTTGAAGTCATAGACATTCCTTTTCTCTGCACACAAAATAACTTTTTTTTTTCCAATATCTAAGAATAATTTTTTTGAAAAAATTATACACCAATAAAATCATTTTTTGGGTCCATTGCATTCAATTATTTTATTTTAATTCCTCATTTTAGTCAACAAAATATCAATATAAGATTTGACACCCACCATAAAGAAGCTAAATGTCACCTCAACTATTTATGCATAAACTATACGCCAATTCATTTTTCAATCTACCAAACTGATTTTTCATATTAAGTTTCTTTTAACTGCACATTTAACAAAAATTTAACTAATATATGGTTTCAAATTAAAAAAGACATACAAAACTATAATATAATTGTAAGCAATAAATGGCACCGATGAGCTTAGAGACCACAATAATTGGGTTTAAATAGTTAGTTTGATCTAAACCATACTTAATATTTCTACTCCCACATTCTTTTTTAAATTTTATATCTTGGATGTTTTATTTTAGTCTTTACCATTACATTTGTACATTCCACTTGACCCCGTAAGATTTCTATAACATAAAAAGCACTATAAAAATTGTCAACTTAACTATAGCTCAACTGGTTTTCTTTTTAGTATGAGGGCAAGGATTCAAATTCTCAACCTCATGGTTGGATACATATGCCTTAACCCATTGAACTATGCTCTAATCGACATAGCTCAACTGATTGAAGCATATATTGTATATATCTTCGACCAAAAGGTCGAAAATTCAAATCACCTCCTCAGATGTTGCAGAAGGAAAAAAATTAACTATAAAATTTTAATTCCAATGACCAAAGCAACTTTCTATGCAAAGTTCAAGAGACTACACAAAACTTAGAAAATCACGACTAAAATAATATACATGTGGCGACCTGAGTATAGCTCAGCATCTATCTCCAACTAAAAGGACGTGAGTTCGAATCCCCACTCCACATGTTGTACTCAATAATAATAACAACGTATGTGTAAAAATTTCAAAGGCTAAACTCAAAATTTGACTTCCAAACTACAAACTTTCCAATCAAAATTCACCAACTACCAGTTAAAAACAACTAGAAGATTTGAATTCAATTACATTATACATTCCTATTATCAAATCACGCCTACAGAATACGGATACAGAATCATGGCAACAAGCATAAAATTCGACAGGTCAATAATGGAGTTTGCAGTCATCAACTAAGAAGAATGTGTGTATTCAAGAAAGACCAATATGATCAATGAGTAAAACCACATAAGCTTGCTTCTAAACCAAACAATGGCAGTTGAAGATCAACAAATTGAAAACACTACCAACCAACCAACTAACCTTAATCCAGGTAATAAAGTCATCCTCATTCTAGAGACTGTTTCAGTAGTAATCTTTATTCTTCAAAAGTGATGATCCTGTGTACTCTATCAGCTATAGGATGCAACTATCGACAAATTATAATTCCAGACGAAACATAATGCAGGTAATGAAGGTGAAAATATAGGAGCAAAGACGAAAAAAGTTCGCTTTTAGTAAACTAGGTTGGGTTGATTTGCAGACAACAAAGGAGGAACAAAGGAGAAGCTACATGTAGGATATCCCAATTCCCAATTACAATTCTTGATCAGTTGGACCAAACTTGAAAAAAAGACGAAAAAGGTAGCAAATATTACACCAGGATTATGCCCAAGCCCAAACTGCATTATCTATCATTGATGGATTCAATTTCCAGCAAATTAGTGCATAGGTTCTCAAAAGGAGAAGCGTAGATCCAATCAGAGAAATGTCAGTATCTAACTACAGGGAATATAGAAACAGAATTGTTTTTCACCAAAACTACAGAGAATGTTATCAACGGTCTTGCAGAAAGTCTTGTAAAATGATAAACAAGCGTGTTAGCTACAAAGACATATGAAAGCAGCCGTGGCTCTCGTATGCAGAACAGAACACAATAAAGAACAAGAAGCCATCCAGAGAAAAGAGCTTTGAGACTTATGGAATTCTCAAACCCAGATTGAATTTGAGTAAAAGGAAAATGAAAAAGTGAAAGCAGCACAATGCGAATAACGTCAAAAGAGAAAATATGACATGGAAAACATTCAGAGAATTAATGCAGTAAGAACCCCCTTCCCCGCCATCGAAATGCAGTAAGAACAAACAAAAATTACAGAACATTAAGAATGCACTGCTACAAGATATAGAAATTGCTAAATAAATCAAGCTCTTGATAATCTACCCCCCAGCAATCTAGGGAAGCCTGTCGAACATTATAATTGATCAACTAATAAGAATTGTTCACATGAGCAATAAAAATTCCATACTATATCACAAAAGGCTTTAATAAGAAAACCTAATAAGATTAAATTCAACCTACTTACCTCTACTTTCATGTTTCATAAGAAAAATTACTCAGTCAGAAGACTAACATTAAGACCTGCTCTTGCATCGGACCACAGAGATTATTATTACAAGGGGAACATCAACACAGAAAACTGGAATTTCCTATGTGATCAATTTGAATCGAACTTCATTTGTTCTTCCTAGAAGTAAGAACAGTATACCTCCACAAGGGTCCCAACTAAGGCAGGCAAGTGGACTATTCCAACTTCAAAGATCAAAGAGGGAAAAAAAATTCATCGTGATCGTGCCTATCTCTGCAACAACAAAAATCAAAGCGCGTGAGAAAAATCTCGAAGGAGTTTCTCAACTTTTTACAAACGAATTCAAACGGATGGGGAGAAGGTTAATGCATCGTCGTGTTCAGAATTCAATGATACGGCGAAAATCGCAAATTGCATTTAATTACGGCGAGTAGAAAGTCTTTTGAGTACCTTGGCCGGAGAATCGGCGACACGATAGGCGTCGGCAGTAACCCCCACCAACCACAGTCCAGGAAACACAGTCTGAGAGATAACCATGAAATTAAGAGTCGAGAAGGAGAATACCGAAACCATTTCAGTACCAAGCAGAAAGGAAATGGTAAGAAAATTGAGGAAAATCAAGATAGGAAGTCATACATCGAGTTGCTTCTGAACATTCTTCGGTCTCTTCTTTGGCCTTCGAGAAGGCCTAGATCCAGTCATGATGAAAATATCTTCCTCAATTTCATCCCTCGACAGAGCGATCCAGAACTTTCTCTTCTCCTTCTTCTCTATTCTGTGCGACTCTGTGAATCCCCGCAACCGAAGCGATTTTGGCTGCGGACTCTCCCCTTGCTGAAGCGCAGCACCGGCGGAGGAAACAGCCGCGTCCGGTTCTTGCGAGTCTCCTCCATTCTTCAAATCACCAAAACCTCTCGACGACGGCCCCTTCCGCGGCCTGAGATTCCACGGCTTCTGCACTATTTCCTCTCCCTCAACCTCCTCACCCTCCCGCTTTAGTTCCTTAACAACTTCATCTCCCACCTCACCTTCCGAATGCTTCGCGGATTTATCTCCCAGTGAGCATGGGGCAAACGTCAATCGGTTTCGAGCGGTGCGCGATCCAACTCGAAGTTGAGGTTTGGGCTCTACTTCCGACTCCGGTTCGGAATGATCGACGGCAGGCGAGGAGTCGCCGCCGATGGCGCGTCGAATGCGGTGGTTATTGTTGGTCTGGTTCTTCCCACCCCATTTTAAGAACGGCAGAGCAAAGTTGTGCAGAGGCTGAGACTTAACTGGTCCTGTCGCCATTGAAACCACCCAACTCTTCACAATCTCTATCTCTACGAAACGTCGTTAGATAGAGAGTACTTCTTCCTCAGCGCCGCTCTCAAAACCACCGTATGTTCGGAACTCTTGGAGAAGAAGACGAACCTCAAGGCTTCCAGAGATCAGCGATAAGCGAAGATCACCGGAGTTTGGCGGAGCCGCCGTGCGCGGCGGAGACGGAGAACGAGGCAGAGACTGAAATTTTGGTGTGTAATGCGCTCGTGCTCGCCTAACATATATGAGAGATGCAGAGGCGCAGTTCGTTCTGCGTCCACGGTTTTACTCCTTGCTATTTTTACGCTTTTGCCCCTGTCTTTTTTGTATTGATAAATAAAGATGCTTCTGTAACTTGGTCTATTGATGCCACGAGGATCGACGCCCTTTTCAGTAATTTACTCACCTTTTTTTATTCGATAATGATCTTTAAATAATATTTTTTAGTTTTAAATTTTAATTTTGGTTAAATTACATTTTAACCCTGAATTTTAAGAGGAAATGCTATTAGAACACATAATTAAAAGTTGAATAGCTTACAACAGCGGAGGTCGAAAATTTACGGATTTATTAGACATTTACCTATTATATATAATCCTGCTGAAAACTCAATGATTTAGTGAAAGAGTTATAAATTTTATTGTCGTCCTTAAATTTTTTTTATTTCATTTTAGCCATTAGAGATGACTTATTTATTGGTTCAAATAGACTAAGGTAAATTGAGAGGTAATAGATCTAAACCTCGTGATGGTCACCTATCTTATAAATTAATTTCTATGTGTTTCTGAATGTTTCATGTTGCAGAGTCAGGCGTCTTGTTCGTAAGATTAGTCGAAGTGCTAATAAGTTAGTTCGGACACTCATGGATATAAAAAAAATTGTTTTATTTGGATCCATAAATAATTTTGTCACATAATGTATGCTCACCCAATATTTATCTCAATCAATCTAGCTGACACCAATACGTGTTTAGATTAATATGCTAATATACCTATTTAACTGCATTACCCCTTTTGCTAAACAAAAAATTAAGATAATAACTAAAATTGTAAATTTTTTTTTCAATTTTAATTTGATATTTTAAAATTTATTAATTAAGATAGAACGAATCTAAACATTTATGGATCAAAATATTTGAATATTTTAAAAATTTATGATCTAAAATAGAACAAACTTTAATATTTGGAGTTGAATATAGGATTTAGATCGATATTTTATTATGATCCCTCAAATTCTAATATTATCTTATAATTTTCATCTTTCGAATGTTCTATTTTAGTACTTTTTCATAACTTCTATTATCGTACTTAAATTATAGTCTATTTGAAAAGTCAACACTTGACCGACTTCAAATACTTAACAATATATACATCTAATTAATTTTTGTGTAGTTAAATTTTGAGCTATTAATTTTTGTTCAACATCTATTTTAATCTTGTGGTAAAATATTTGTATAATGAAAATCTTGAAACTATATTTTCAAATTCAACACTAGACTTATAGAGGGTGTTTGGTTTGCAGGTTTGAGGAAGGTTTGTTAAACTTGAATTTTTTTTTTCTTTTTTTTCTTTTTTTTGAAGTAAATGAAAATGCAAAAACCATTACACAGAAGATGAAACACGAAACAATCTTCCTCCATGCAAAGAGACACAGTCGATGGACACGTTTCCACCCAGACATGTAGATCAGACGAATCCAAAGCCAGACGCACTAATCAGCCGTATTACCTTCCTGATTCACAAAACTGAAGAAAATTTGAGCACCTCAGCCGGACAGCATCGCCTTAAAGGAAGAAAGAAGAACACCCACCTCTAATTCATCCTCCCTATCAGGCGTGAGGAGCTGATACACCCGGAAAGAATCCATTTCAACCTGCAACTGGAAAAATCCAGCCTGTCTAGCCACGTGGACTCCTTCCCGAACCGCAAGCGCCTCAGCCATATCCACCTCAAAAACACACTACCAAGGTCGCACTCCCGACAACAGGACCCGTCCAAGAGAATCTCGAACTATAAACCCCAGCCAGCCAATGAAGAAGTCGCCCTATACGCATCATCCACATTAAGTTTAACAAATCCCTCAACCGACGGAGACCAAAATTTGATGCGATGCACCTCCCGCGACAGAGCCGAGGGGGAAGGGAAACGCCCTGCACCTCCTTATACGATTGTAAGTAGGCCCTAGCCCTATCAGGAAGACTATTAAGCAGAGCATTGTTGCCAGAAGAGAACAACTACTGATTTCGAGTATTCCACAATGCCTAGAGGAAAACTGAAATTTCTTCCATACTAAGCCAATGGACTAATTCCAACCAATCATGAAGAAGAGAAAACACACTCGTCACTACCCCGGACGACCCCACCGCCGAGCCGGGAAAACAATTCCAAAGACGGCGGACTTTCTTGCAATGCCAGAAAATATGAAGAGTAGGCTCGCCTTTCACTCTGCAAAAGGCACAAGTGTTCGACACATCTACACCACGACCCAATAAATTATTCCCTGCAAGCAGCCGATCAAGACAAAGCCGCCACACAAAGAATTTAATTTTACTGGGCAATTGCATCTTCCAAAAGTATTCCACCAATGAAACAGGGAGTCATAAGATGAGGATGAGGGAAAACAATGGACATTTTCATGTTGGGCTAGCCGGTAGCCACTTTTAACGGTATAGATTCCCCTTTTTTCACCACTCCAGATAAAGGGATCATTCATCCCATCAATTATAGGAATCGACATTATGAAACGGGCTTCCTCCAAGTCAAAATGGGAGTAAACTCTCTGTGTCCCAATATCCAACGAGGGAGCAGAATCAATAGGGAGTGATGGCCTCGACTGCACACGGAGAGACCCACCATTCAGAACCCATTTGTTAGCATAGATCCGAATAAGCTCTCCATTATCCTGACCCCACATCAGGCTCTGCCAAATAAACTTGAGTTTATTAAGTATGAGTTATTAAGTCTGGGGTTTATTAAGTCGGTGTTTGATTGTGCATAAAATATGTTTATTAAACCTGTGTTTAGTTGGTTGTTGAGTCTGGATTTGTTAAATGATACCATCTAGTTAAACTTAACTTTATTAAAACTGTGTTTATGGGTTGATTTTAGATTTATAATAAATAATAGAGAGTAAAACTATCTAATTGAAATAATTAAAAATAAATTAAAATCGTGTTTCTTATGAAATTAGGGAGTGTACTTTTCAATATAAATTAAAAAAATTAATACATTTGTTTGCTTAATATTTTTCAATAATTATTTTATAAAAATTTATCCAACATTTAATTTACCACAAAATAATTGTTTTTAATGGTTTATATAATTTTTGTTCATTTATTGCTAGCTTTTTTTTGTTTTACTCTGTTTATTAGTTGAGGCACCGCAGCGTGTTCTCATCTAAGAAAGATATACAGTGCTCGCGGAACGCACTTGCAAAGGACCAACGACGAACTATGTAGAACTTAGATCCGTCGACTTTCTCTTCGATAAAGTCGTAAACTTCGGATCTTATGTTCCTTTCGTCAAAGGGTGACTAAGAGAGAATTTGAGTCTGGCGTG